GACTGTACTGCCTTTGCTACCATCATCGGAGGAATTTGGATTGAAATAAGGTTAAGTTTTAAACGGTCGGTCGTTTCTTAGAGAGTTTAATGAAGATCAGACTATATCCCGTCCTAGAACGAAGCATACAAGACGCTAATGCAAACTGGTGTTCTTGTTGAGATCGGCATCTGATAACGGAAATGATGGACCACCAAAAAAAGTCCAAATGAAATTACAAAAGGTGTTCGAAATGCGCTCAGATTTATGAGGATAATTCATAAAACGGGCAGTGCTGGCAAACGCAGCTAGTATTGTAGATTTGCCGACTTTGTGGACTTGCCATTAACATGGTGCCAAGAACAGAATTCCGGTTCAAGGTACGGTTGGTGGTAAAGGGGCTCCGATGGCATATGGAATATGCTTCTTCGAATTACATCCATCTGCTGCAAAACTAAATTCAATACCGGCTACTGGCCATACTGGATATAGTAGATAGGCGTGAATACGGCATTGTTGAACTGTATGATGGTAGACTGTGAATTCGTTCGTATTGACGGATGCAATATTTTCTTTTGAAACGATGTCCGTGTTGAGAAAAGCAGCATAAGAACATCCTCTGTTTGTTCATTGAGGGCAGCTGCGGTGCCGATCAATGCGCTTACGACAAGGGCGGTTGGAACGGAATGTGTTTGTTTGCCTCTACGTGTTTAATATGATTATCATGTAGATTGACCAGCTCTTCGTCTTAAAGTAGTGGCTTAGACTTAAAGGACAAGAAAATACCGACATTGCGCGACTCCATTTCTGATGGATCTTAAATGGCGACGACTTACTTATAATCTGCTGGAATACCAAAACATAGCGCTCGCCAGCAGATTTTCTTCCCAGGTGGCCACTTGAAAAGGGTATCATGTGTTTCGAGCAGTAATCTGTAGTCAAGGTTGTCATGAAGCACGACTACACGCTGAGTTCACGTGGGTGACCAATGGTAACAAGTTTGATAAACAAGATCCTGTTTTTATGTTGCTTCATTGGGCGACAGGACATAAAATTCCGCATTGGAAAAGGCGACCCTTAGGGCTGTGAGAAAAAGCCCCATGCGTGCCCGTATATTGGCTCTTCAAATCATTCCATGGGGCTGATATTGGAAATGTGGTAAGCCTCAATCGATGCCAATTAGCATGAATGCATATTTGCGTTTGTGTCAGAGCGACAGATAGTAACTACCGTATTTCTGATAAGGAGTCACTAGCAATAAAGTATGCACTCGTCAAATTCTCTTAAAAAAATCATAGTGCACGATGGTGCTGTAATGAAGCAAGCCTTGGGATAGAGCATACTGTAATTGGCATGTGAGCGCAAAAAGTAGGTGTAGAATTTTTCATGCGTATGTTTATTGGGTATGCTGGAAACGCAAGAGGATACTGACTTATATCATAAGGAAACTTTGACATCATCTCTTGAAATTGATAGCATTCACCCCTTCGGTTCATCAGAACGATCAGATTTTCTCCACGTTATGAAGCAAGATGCTGACAAGTTACATGCGAGTAACTGGCGGATCGTGTACGACAGCAACAGCAGCAGTCGGAAGCTGGTGATGAGTTAATAACTGCTAAAGATTATTTACTTGCTGAAGATGTACAGCCAGACATCCAGCTCCAAAGTCAACGGAGTTGACGACATAATGAAGTATGAGTGGTGACATGTTGTTCTACTCGGTTGCGATATTGTACGAGACTTGGTCCGAATGCTTGAAGACACACCGACGAGTTCTGATGAGCAGCAGGTGAACGATGACGATACAGAAAGCGACAATCACTTCCGACTTTCATCTTAAACGCTGCCTCGTATCCGATCGGTGGCGATTTGTATTTATAAAAAAACCGGATGAGAACGCACTATAGCGAAAAAACAGGAGGTAGAGCATTATATTTTGGGTTCATTGCAAAAGGTGATACAAATAGAAAATATTCGCGAGATGTGATACTATTGTTTTTTTTAATACTAAAAATGCAAGTTCTGGTAAAATTACCGAGTGTAGCCATTCATAGTTCACCGTTACATTGAAGGCGTGTGCCTTGGAGATGGAGAAACTCGAGCAGAAGAGATGGACTAACAGCAAGGAGGCTGTGCGAGCACTGTCACACTAATAAACGAAACGTCCCCCCTCTATTGATGACGATTATACACTTCCCTTGTGCTAGTGCCACATCTTTGATTGCTCGCACAGCCCCCTTGCCGCGAGTCCATCTCTTCTGCTTGAGTTTCTCATCTCCAAGGTACACGCCTTCAATGTAGCGGTGAACTAAGAATGACTACACTCGGTAATTTTACCCGGTCTTGTATTTTAAGTGTTAAAAAAACAATTGTATCACATCTCGCGAATATTTTCTATTTGTATCCCCTTTTGCAATAAACACTTATATTTTATCCGGGTCGTGCTATCTTTCCTGATACATAACGGTTCAAAGAGACGCCAATACATCTTTCTCCAATAGCAATCTCTAGCGCTGGTGTACGTGGGAGTTGGGAGGTTCGTATTACATCGATGTCGCCAAGTCGTCCAGGTGCAGATTAAAAGGGATTCGTGGGCTGAAATAGCGGCAAGTGTCTGTTGAATTAAAACACAATCCGACTATTGTTGACAAAGATCGTCGATAGAAGCTCAGTGGAGATCAGTTTGCGTACGCTACGAACAAAAGCGGCTCCATGGTGTATTTGTGCACTTACATTAATGATATGGTCATCGCAGCTAACGCAAGAAGATTTTGAGAGATCGAGGCAAGGCTCAAGATTTTGTGCACGTTGAAGTAAACATGTTCTCTCTGGATGTAGAATGAGTTCAACCCGATGGCAGGACATTGACGACCAGACAGATGCGTTGAATTGACAAGGAGTCCAGTTAACTAAACCTGCCGGATTCAGAGGCAGTAAAGTAAATCAAATCAAAGACGGTGATGCTGCAGTCGCAAACGATAGAATTTGGCAGGAATGAGATATGGTCGATGCCGACAGTTTGTTGATCGGATTGGTGCTTCGCATCACCATCTATACGCACCCTGACGTGTCGTACGCAGTAATGCAACTATTGCGATTCTTTGAGAGCCCTCTTCTATTGCACCGGAAGGCTGCGAATTGTGCTCAGATCTGGCTCTTAACAACGCGTAGGCTTGAAAATATTTACAGTGGTTGCAATTGTGACGTGCTGGTGACAGATGCCAAATGAGATAGTAACCTTGTCGATTGTTGCTCAATGGCGGGGACCGGCTACGGTTCTATCGTGATGATGAGAGAGGTAAAATTTCCAACGTACAGTGGCGCTAAATTCGAGGGAGGTGGGATAATTGGCACTCGGCCTATGCACCCATGATTTGTTGTAGGCCCATGGAATGCTCAAGGAGGATCATTAGCAAGTAAAAGCTGCGGACGTTTTTAGATAATCAGAGTGTAGTCAAATTGGTAAGAAACGCATGGCGCAGTACAAGAGACAAGCGTTCGACTGATTTTGATTTTTTGGGAGAACATGACGCGAGTGGTCATCGCCGTGAAGCACATTTCCACGTTGGGTCAGTAAGCGGACATGCTGACCAAAACAAGGGACATCAAACGATAAAATAGGTCAGAGTTATCGGAGCATCAAAGGCAAAATCCATTGCTTACGTAAATCTTAAGCAACCATACATTCATGCTTATCGGCATTGATTGGAGAAATCTGAACCATATTTTCAATCTTAGCCGCCATGAATCGGCCGATCTGGATTTTGGAAAGCCAAGATGCGGGCGCGCATGGGGCTTTTACTCCAGTCTTTAAGGTCGCATTTCCTGATGGCGTTCACTTTGCAAATTCTTGCGCGAAACTCAGCGTGTAGTGGTGCTTCAACTAAATTACAAAATACTGCTCGAAGCACATGATACCCTTTCATGTGGCCAGAAAAACTGCTGGCGATCGCTATGTATTGGTATCCCAGCATGTTATAAGTAAGTCGTACCATCTTTTGGAATTGGTGATTACTCGCGGAAAATCGGTATTGTTCGCCCTTTACATATGATGGCCGGCGGATAGATCTTTTGAAGTCCAAAGACTGTTCATTTTCGATACAATAAGAGACTCATGCATCTAATTTGAATAAGTCAGCTACTCGCTCAGCTTTAGCCGCGAAGACACAGCTGCGAATGGAAGCCTAATGAATTTTTTGAATATAGATCCTCCAAAACCAAATTGACCAAGTACTTAACAAGTCCAAGCCATTTTTTTAAGCTCTTTCGAGACGAAGAACTGGTCAATCAACATGATAATCATGTTGAACACGTAGAGGCATAAAAATACGTGTCCGTTCCAACCGCGGGAGTGCCGTATCCACGCCCGTCTACTACAACACCTAACGATCTACCACGAATTCATCCAGTGTGGCCGGTATTAAATTTATTGTTGCAGATGATGGGTATATTTTAAAGAAGTTATTCTATATGCTAAATACTTGTACTTCTGATTCAAAACACAAAGAAGTCCGATCTTCATTAAACTCTCTGGAAGCCGACAGATCATAAATACGATTTGCCACTGCAATACTGTGTTCTACACCAATTCGACATCGTCCATGCGTCTTTGCCGGTTCTTTAATCGCTTTCTCTTATTCGTTCAGTACCGATAGCGATCCATTTGTGTCGCTGGATGCGTCATCAACGACCTTATTCAAATGAATGTCCATTTCGTGAGCTGGTTACTGCGTGTCATATATTCCGTCCACATCACCTCAAATTTACCCTTAAATGAGGCCAAGTCATATGCGCGAATCCGCTGTACATATTCAATATAACTCAGAAACATGCATCACGTTTTCGATGCAAATAAATGTTCAGGATTCAAATACATCAAGATGAATCAGCGTGGATTTCAACCTGAACCTACTTCATACGGCTTGGCATAAGTGTTGATAAGGTGTGTTGATAAGATGGCAAAAACCGAAGTGAATATATTTAGGTCCTTAGTTAGCTACT